GTGGTGTGACACTAGTCATGTGACCTCGCTGACGCAACAGTATATCACTATTCTAAATTAAGCCTGATTGTGAATAGAAAATAATATAGGTGAGTAACAGAAATGGTTTTATGGCTAAATAGTCATACACAAACCCAAAACTACACGAATTTCATATTATTGTACTCTCAGACATTTGGAGCCTGGCTTGGCCTGGTGGTTAGGGTCGAGGGTTCAGATCCCTGTTGCATAACATGCTCGCTCTCTTAGCCGCGGGGGCATTATAATGTGACGGCCAGTTCCCACTATTCCTTGGGAAAAGAATTGCCCAAGAGTTGGCGTTAGGTGTTGTTGATTAGCTGTTTTTCCCTGTAATCTATCACTGCTAAATTAATGACGGCCAACGCAGGTAGCCTTTGTGCAGCTTTGCTCGAAATTCAAACCAAATAAGACATTTTCGCGACTTGTACAAAAGATTTTATCGACCATCAAACTGTTTGTTGCAGTTTTGATTTGTCAACCACAAATTTGGACGAAGGGCAATTTGCACTGTGTCTAGAGCAGGGTATGAACCCCAAATGTAAGTGCTTTAAGCACTCAAGCTTACTGCTGGGCTACCGAGAAAGTATAGCTTATTTGACAAATACACCAACTTCTAAAATGTACGACGAGGTCGAGAACATCGCTGTTTGTAGAATTTAAAAATTATTTGTAATTGCTGTAACAAATGAGACGAACAATTATTTGGACTTATATACTTCCTTACTTATTCTATTAAAATGAAGCCAGTGAAATTTTATAAAGATCACGCTGCTTCTGATAGGCTGAATGACTGGTAATTAGAGTGGCTGAACGAATGTGGTGCCATCTTTTGATTAAACCGACATTGACTCCTCATTAAATGGATTAATAACATCAATGTCTTCAGGTAGGGGTTCGACTTCCCGCAATGGACGCAGCAAACAGTCCAATTTGCCTTAGCTGTAAATAACAAAAGAAACAAATAATATGATTAAAGTATCATTAGTATTATAATTTAGAGTGTTACGTATAACTTATTGTTTAACGGATGGACATAGGATACGAGTAGAAAAAAACAAGATTTAATCAGCCATAAAATGAAAAGGTAGTAAGACAAAGAAAACTTTCGGGTGACACAAAAGCTCTACGCGTAAGCAGCCCTAATTTTGGGCTGATAGACTAGGATTAAGGCATCGAGTTAACAGCATCCACCACCAACTCTTCAGGTAAAACGAAAGGACATAAGTTTAAGATAAATCAAGCTAAGCTCCAGTTAAGGTAGTTTTATTTTTGTAACGGGGTTTTTGGCTTGTGGAATGAGTTGCAATCAACAGTATTAAGCTAACATTTTATAGGAGTTTAAACAGAAAATACTATAATATAAAGAGTAGGTTTAAATTTTTGCTTTTCTCAACGGTGGGTGTGAGAGAACAGCCTTAAACTTTAAAGGACCACGTGATCCTTTGACGTCTGTTGTATGTTTTGTTCGCGAGATCTTGTCACATAATTAAAACACGTTTGATTTGTGAAACTTTTGGCAATATTTCATTTTTTTTAATAAATACCTTAATCCAATTACTGCGTAGGCTTACAAAAAGGTTGCAGATTTCTAGGGTTAGGACAATACGATGATAAATGGCGTGTATTCCGAACCTCTACAATAAGGCCCTAGTTTTACAGTTTCAATGTTTCATACGTGTGAAATCTTTCATCTTCTCATTTATATGGCTAACAACATGCCAAATATTTTCCAATATACTGCTTTTTAGTTTAAGGGGAGACAATAAAGTAAGATAAAAATATTTTTACGTCACTGAAACAAGTTGCTCAGCTCTACAAGAACAGTGCTTGTGATGAGGCCACAACATTAGCTTAGATGGAAAGTTTTTAATTATTATGGAAACATTAGCTTGGAAAGTTTTTAATTATTATGGAAACATTAGCTTGGAAAGTTTTTAATTATTATTGAAACATTAGCTTGGAAAGTTTTTAATTATTATTGAAACATTAGCTTAAATGGAAAGTTTTAATTATTATGGAAACATTAGCTTAGGAAAGTTTTTAATTATTATGGAAACATTAGCTTTTAAAAACTTTCAATCTAAGCTAATGTTTCAACAATAATTAAAAACTTTCCTTAAAAACTTTCCCTCCAAGCTAATGTTTCAACAATAACCTTATTATTGAAACATTAGCTTAGATGGAAAGTTTTTAATTATTATTGAAACATTAAGTTAGATGGAAAGTTTTTAATTATTATTGAAACATTAGCTTAGATTGAAAGTTTTTAATTATTGTTGAAACATTAGCTTAGATTGAAAGTTTTTAATTATTATTGAAACATTAGCTTGGAAAGTTTTTAATTATTGTTGAAACATTATCTTAGATTGGAAGTTTTTAATTATTGTTGAAACATTAGCTTAGATTGAAGTTTTTAATTATTATTGAAACATTAGCTTAGATTGAAAGTTTTTACTTATTATTGAAACATTAGCTTAGATGGAAAGTTTTTAATTATTATTGAAACATTAATTTAGATGGAAAGTTTTTAATTATTATTGAAACATTAGCTTAGATTGAAAGTTTTTACTTATTATTGAAACATTAGCTTAGATTGAAAGTTTTTACTTATTATTGAAACATTAGCTTAGATGGAAAGTT